TGTGACCCCAGACCCACATTAGGTGATGGATGTGACCCCGAGTCTTGGGTGACAGATGTGACCCCCAAACTTGTGTTTGGGGATGGATGTGACCCCCAGACTCACATTGGGTGATGGATGTGACCCCCAGACCCACACAGGGCAGCTGATGTGACCCCCAGACTCACACAGGGTGGCTGATGTGACCCCAAAGCCAGGGGGTGACGGGTGTGACCCCCAGCCTCACATTGGGTGACTGATGCAACCCCCAAAGCCTCTCTGCTTCCGTGCCTGATAAACTCGGGGTTTGGCAACAACTCCCAAAGGGGAAGGAGCTCATGGGCAACTCCAGCTCTGTTCCCTGGTCTCATTCCCCATGGACACCCTGCAAAGGGAATCCAAATGCCATGGGAAGGGCAGGGAAGGCGGGCAGGGTGCAGGCAGGGCGGGCAGGGCATCCCCTCCCTGGGGCAAGGCAGGAGCACACGGTGCCTGCAGTGCTGGAGGGTGGAGAGCAGGACAGAGGCCACCCCAGCGTGGATCCCAACATCCCATCCCAGGGAAAGGGAGCTGTGTTTTGTCGGGTCCTGGGGGCCCAGCAGGCCCCGGAGCAGGAGCTGCCGTGGAGGATGGGCTGGTTTGGGTGCAGGACTTCCTCTGTCCCCACTTCCCCTCTGGCACTGGGGCCTCCCATCCCATCCCCTGTGAGCCCCAAATTGCTGCTCCGTGGGGGGCGAGCTGGGAACTGTTTAAAAGCTGGTGTTTCCAGGGAAAATGGAGGGAATGAGGAGCTGGAAGCCCTTCAGCAGCAGGGGGGTGGCGTGGGCAGGGCTTTTGGGTGCTGCAGGGGTGGATCTGGATGCTGGGCGAGGATGGGATGCTGCTGGTGCCTTTCCCAGCTGGAAAAGCCTTGCTGTGCCTCAGGGATGTTTATCCAGGGATATTTAAACCCCAGTTTACCTCTGGTCAGTCCTGGGCGAGGTGCAAAAACCCTGCCCAGACCCCGAAGGGCTTCCCCTTCGATCCTGAGGGAACAAAAACTCCCGGGAGGGCAAGAAAACCTCTGCAAGACGCAGTGGCTCTTTCAGATTCTGGCTCTTAGGACTGAAAATATTTCGAAAGAACTCTTTATGACTAACCAGAGGTCAGCTGAACTGTGACCCAGACGTGCCTGTTATTTAGGAACGTTGGGGCTGGCCCTTATGACATTTGGGTGTAAGTCACGAGGGCGCATCCCTGAAGTAGATTCTCCCCGTGGCAGAAGTGGAAGAAGTTCTGGGGAGTCTTGTACCGGGAGAGCTCCTGCTCCACGGCCCGCCTGGAGCTGCTGGAGGGCTCGGGGCCGGCGGAGAAGGCCCGGAAA